ACTGTATATCTTCCTAAACCAAATGACAGACTTCGAATGACCTTTGAAGCTGAAGGTGAACAAGGATAAGTTTAGACCCTGTTAGTTAGCCTTATTTCTCAGGATTCAAAAAAAGTGAAAATTACTAAATAAACACTAATATCGCAATCTTTCATAACCTGGTGTTTTTAAAAAACAAATGACATGTGACAGAAATCCACTGTTAAATATCTTTCAAAACTGTGAGTGATGGTACTGTTACTCTCCACTTGTGAATCACATTTTGTTTTTTAAACTGCAGCAATATGATATCAGAGAAACTGTTTCACTGTGTGGATGTACATATGCCACTGAAGTCAACGGAAAAAGGCAAAAGAAGCCTTTGTATGAAATGACTGTGCAACTAACATTGCCAAACCTTCACAAGCTATTGTATACTATAAACACATTGTAAACACACAATGTGACGATATTGTAAAAAAAAAAGAAAGAGCTTCATTCCTCTTGAACAAAATGTGCATGATGATTTGATCTGACAATTCAGACATACATGTATTGGCAAACATATCTGACTATTGGAAATGAGAAAACAATGTCTTTTCTCTGTCAAGCCAGTTAGAAGTCAGGCCTTTGGGGTGTTGGTCACTTCTTCAAATCTTAAATCTCAAAATTATGAATGGCAAAGGTACATGTACCTGCTTGAGAAAATACAAATAAATATTTCTTTGATATACTATTAATGTCCATACGTGTACATATACCGGTACATGTAACCTATGTACAATGTAATTGCAACGTGTGCAAGGATACATGTCAAAACTGATCTCATACACACCGATACTATAAAAACTTACAAACACAATGACGGTTTTTAATCTGGTGAGCTCCTTTTTTAAGGGGAGGAGATGGCACTGTTTTTCAAGGATGACAGATTTTTTCGAGATGAAAAATTTAACGCTGAAAATAAAAATGAAACAAAATAGTGTACCTGGAAAAACAGAGGTGGGTGGACAGACAAAACCATCTGCTGTGACATTGCCAAACTGATAAATGAACAGTGATGAACACAAAATGATTTGATAGGCCTAGGCCGAATCTGGGTCATCTCATACCCGGGACAACTAGTACCCAGGTCAACTCGTACCCTAGTCAACTCATACCCAAGTCAACTCTTGATGCAGGGCCATCATAAGTAAAGTTCACTGTACACGTATGTACTGCACTAGTGTACAGTTAAGTTATAGCACGTGCTGAGCGCCGGAGAGGCACTGGTGTGGCACAACTTCTTATCCATTTTTCGTTGTGTTTGGTTTTTCACCACGATTTCTTTCTTGCATGCATTCCGTGCGCTATCAATGTCATGCCATATTACATGTAACAGCGAACATCCGAACCGACCAGTTTGGTTTGGTTCGGTTTGAAAGTGCAATGTTCGATGATTTTTGGTTCGGTTGGGCAGTTCGGCTGCAGCCCTATCCTAAGTTAAAACGTACGGAGTATGAGTTGTCCTGGGTACCATTGGTCCTGGGTACACTTTCACGTGGGAATGACCTGAGTACGAGTTGACTTGGGCGGGAGTTTGGGGGTACGAGTTGACCTGATTCTGCCTAGGCCTACTCATGATCACTTGGCATGCTCGGGTCAACAGTCGATCAACTCAGTCATCAGAAACCTACATGTACAATGTACATTGTAAGGATGGTCAAAGCATTTTTCTTACCCAATAAAAGAACATGTAGAAAAACAAGGCGACTCGCAGGAACCTGTGACCGCAACTTGGCTGTGGCAGACCCATGTTGTCCTGTTTGAGGATTTCACCTTAGGATTTCACGGGAGTTTTGGAAGGCCTGGCCCTGCTGTCAAGTCAACCTCGGCCAAACATACCCAGCCAGCGCACAATGTACGGTACCGATCAGATGGTGCACGTGACCTTGCAAGTTGCACTTCTTGTAGAAGCTAGAATTGTTGCGAAGCTGCCCGTTCCTTTATTTACCACCGAAGCACCACACACAGTGAAACTGAAAGTACAATGTAGGTTTAAAAGCAGTCAATTACTTTCACATAATTTCACCGACAAAGACAACATCGAGTTGAATCTTACACCGCTGTAGACAGTGCACGTAACAGATACCAGTAAGCAGATCCGATGGTTAAGTTGAAGGTTGACATTTCAGAGACGCACGTACTCGTTACGTACGTGCTCGAGCACGTACGTAACGAGTACGTGCGTCTAGTCTACGTCTACAACCAGGATTTCCCTCCGGAAATAGATCGGCATAAAAATAGTAGATTTCTTTTTATAAACGTGTAGCTGGTGTGAGCCCCGAGGGGAAATATACACGGGAAGGGCAGTCAAATTTACTTTTTGTAATCAATTATTGCGATGAGTTTGTATCGATTATTCAAGCTTTGATACTTACATACCAGTGTATATGAACCAGAAAATAGCTTTCCTTCAAACAGAATTAAATCTTTTCCAAAGATTGGTTTTTGAAAGCCTCTCCAAAAGCGAACACTTGAGGGGGCTATTTCACTTATCCGAGCAGAAACAGTTGATGAGTTCGTAGTATCCACCAAAGATTGTATATCGCCCTCGCACTGGCGCGCCGCTAAACAATCTTCGGTATCCACACAGGACATTGACAGTGAGTCCTCTTCACACTGTACCGGTATTTCGCTCCATCAGTACAGTGCAGGTAACCTTGGCAGGCATTCTGTTGTCTAAAATGTGCGTGTAGCCTGAACTAGGGCAGGGCCAGTACTTTGTGGCAACATCCTAGTGTTTGTGTCATATCAGTGAAGTCGGGTGTGTTTTCTTACTCCACCAGGGCTTAACGTGAGGTGTCATCGGCCTGGAACTAACCTAGAAAATAGAAGCAAGAGCCCCTTGGCTTGAGCAGTTGAGGTGTTTGTTGAGTTGTCAGCGTTGTAACTCATTAGGTAAGTACTACAAGGGCCTATAACTACCTCTACTATTCTGCACCGTAGACTTTTATGATCTTATTATGCTTACTGCTCTCCACCTTTTTGATGATTCCGCTTGCTATGGCATTTTGAAAGCTGCCCAGTAAACTTACCAGATAAAACATCCGTTTACACTTGCTTAAGCAGATCTTCCTTTAAAGACCCTATTAATAATAGCTAACTTACATGAAACTACTGTTCTTGAGTGTATTTTGTAGCATTTAACCATTGGCAAAAAATGAGGTTTTTCTACCCTCCTCACCTTTCATCATGCTCATCCCTCGACGATCTGCACACATCTGCATTCTCTTGTGGCTGTACATCACGTGACAAAAACAGGCATGTATTCGTGTTACAAACATTTACATTGCTTTGGATACCATTCCCAATAATTCTGACTACTCCTGCTAAGATTATGTATAGAGATGTCTGGGAAATCTGTGGTCAGGGAACCACACTATTCACACTAACACTAAGTCACCATCTGCTTCATATTGTGATTCAAGCTGTATATTAATGTCCTGGAGACGATCTCACGATGCGCTGGTCTCTAGCGGACCATTCACAAAAGCATGCAGTGTCTATATGCGCATGCTGACAACTGTTTTCTGAGGGTCTCAATTCAGGCATGCAACATTTCCTCAGCTCCAATCAACTGATTTCCTCGCTTTTCACATCACACTTGTGCCGTTGAAAATTGAAATCATTCTACAAGTTCCATGCCTGCCAATAGGCTGCTGCGATTCATAAAGGATGCGTATAAAGTTTAAGAATGTGCGTGCAAGTCCACTGCCACTGCAGTTGATGGAGTAAATCTGTTCTGGGGGGTCTACACCATATATACTCTATATAAGGGGTGATATTCATGATAAAGATGTATATATTTGCATAATGAGTATCAAATTCATGCAGAATCTTACATCAAAATGAAATTAGTCTACAAATGAAATCTGCATCGTTCCTTCTCTTTTTTCAAAAAATGCTACGATACATGTAAAACCCTGATGCAGAATTTGTGCCGTAAGCTTGATGGATCTCGCAAAGATGACGTGATCGTGCTGATCGACAGATCGTGCCCAACAGTACTATCTGTGTGCTGCTGTCTTCTTATCAATCAAACATAGCGATTGTTGGGCATGATCTGTGATCACTTGGCAATCAGGTGATTCTCTTTTACATGATGTGTCGATATTCTGTTCCACTACAACTTTGTCACCTGCCCTAACTGTGTCATGAACACAGCTTGCATGTGAGGACACCGGTCATTACAAATGTGAAGTTTCACCTCGATCCAACTTACATGTACCTGTATGGTTTGTTGTTAGGGCCATTTGAAGTTCAAGGCCACACATGTGTTGGCCAAAATGCATCGAGCAGATCCACTGAAGATACACTTTTGCTGACCTGTCTTGGAAAATGGGCACAGTGTGTGTTGTGAGAACGGTGTTTGTACTTAAGGAGTACCTACCGGTACATGTACGTCCAGTTTTCACAAAATTGGTGTCAAAATGATCGCATCATGTTACTGAAAAACTCCTGAAGGCTCAGTGCCTGAAAATACAAGCATTGTGATGTCAGAGAAAGCGTTGAGTGTTGGATTCTGCTCCCCCCCCCCGCTCGTTTAGAGTTAAAGGACCAACCGATAGTGCAGCACAATCGACTGATTGTGCCGCAACTTTCATGGTCTCCTATGCACAATAACCTCCTTGGCAGTGATCCTATAACATGTAGCTTGGCCAACATTAGGCTCAGTCTAGTTGAACATTTGCCAACTTGACTCGCAGTCGTACATACATGCACCAACTTGATCGTTTGCCAACTTCACCATAGTGCCAAATTTTCATGAGGCCACTCCAAGGTCCCCAGCACTGCTACTACTCCTCAAGAGGTGGATTGAGGAGCCCAAGTGGCATTGTAATGTAGCTCTCGGGCTTGGCCTCAGTATTTCACCAGCTGAGTGTCAGGGTCTTTTTTACCAGTGCCTTAATACTAATGTGCAAATGTCAATTAAGTGGCCATAAAAGCACCCATGGTGTCTGAAACTCTCTGCTTTGTACTGTACACACCCGCCATAGAAAAGATGGTAATGATGAGCCCCCTTCTTCCACCCATTAGACCAGGAAGAGTGAGTGATTGGTTAAAAAAAAAAGGCTGTCTGTCCACTGGGTACCTCTACCTTTCAGGAAAAGTACTGTACCCTATGTTGAATGCCCCCTCTCCCGTCAAACCGATGGGGGAGGGGAACATTTTCACTTTTTTGTCATTCCAAGTGGAATGTGCCTTGTACAGATGTATGTATGTGGCGGTACATGTACATGTATTTCTGGTTTCAGGCCTGTTCTGTCATCATAAAGTCTGTACATGATGTCTCGTACTGGTAAGCCAACATGTATAATGGTACATTATCCAATTTGGAACCAACTACATGTAACTTGGAATCAGTTCAAGCCAGATCCAATCAACAAGTGATCTGTCTTTGTCAAGTTAAGCGGCAGGAACTTGAGTGTGAATGGTTCAGTCATGGCTCAGTTGCCTGGTTTTCGAGTTGACTAGGAGAAAGTAGGTTAGTCTCAAGGCAACTTAACTCTCTGTTTCTGCGTTTCAAAACCCAAACACGTACAGTTTACAGACACACAGTGAGTGGTTGGCCCCATGGGGCATTGTTTCTGGCCAATGAAGTGCCTTCGTTTGTTCATGTGTGTTGCCCATAGAGGCCATGGCGATGATGTCATGACTCACATGAGCAGTTTTCAATTTATCAATCAGGACAAACCATCTCAACCATCTCACACAAAGATACTGCCAGTACCACTGAGTGTGCGCTTGAAAGGAAAAACGGAAGACAACAATTGTACACTGAGTTTCATTCTGCTTTTCCACTAAACAGAAATTCTCAGCATGAATACTGTTCAGTGTGTATGATCTATGAAGCTTAAAAGAGACCAATAAATAAATAATAAACAAATAAAAGTATGATTATTAAATAAAATATGGATCTTAAAGAACACACACATCTACACATGTACAGTTATAGTGTGTTTAGCTGTAGCATTGATTCCAAATCATACATTCAGGTTGTCTGACTTCCAGTAATTCCCTGTCCAAACCTTGTGCTTGCGTACAGTACATGTATTCTGTGGCATTCAGCCCGATATTCCCAACTGAGAATGTCCGCCCATGTAAATCTGTACTCCATCAGAGGTTAAAAGAGCAACCTGTCTGATGAATTCCCCCCCGAGAATTTAACAGGAGCTGTGCAGATGGATGGTTACATGTAGAACAAGCCTTTAGCGTGTAGTGACTCATAATTTCATTATCCATTGCTCACGTACATGTACATGTAACACAGTTGGCTAGTGCTCTTTGACATTTCCAACTTTTATGTGTATATATATACAGGTACCGCACATGTACATCAGTCTGGAGTATGACCATATTTGCACGGCGTATTACATTACAAATCTCGCGCAATCTGACCAATCACAAGGCTTGTTCTAGCGGCCTGCAATGGATTGATTGCAACAGGTGTTTCTGTGTTATGGGGTGCTTTTTCTTAAACGTTGCAGAATATGAAACAAAAACACCAACAAAAAATGTCAATTACAATTTAATTAGCCGTGCTAAAAAAACCTGACTACAGGCATAAATTAAAAGTTCTAAAACACATTTGTAGAGAAGGGATTTAAAATTCGTCGTTACAACGCATTGCCAACTTGAGATATGTACCGGTAAAGCTGATTTTGGACTAATCGGTAGGGAAGGTGACTATGCCCATATGTGGTAATACATGTACTCTGGACTGTGCATGGCAAGTTCTCTTATAACACTTCCCCCCTAACAAAATTATCCCTTCCCTAACCCGAAGTAAGCCCCCCTCAAGAAAAACAATAACTATGATAGCAGTAATCATCATCTCTACTTTTAATCATCTTTTTAAAATTTGTGGTAATACTGAGTCTAAAATGTACCGATAGGCCTTTACGTACTGTAGGGTATTTGCAGTGTAATTTGTAATTTGCTGAATTCAAGTGACAAATACACTATACATGTACACATTTTTTTAATATAAAAAAGAAACAGAAAACAGACTCGAGGCCATTGGTATTAGTTTCTAAGCTTTCAAGTCTTCCATCTTTCGGAATTAGGACGTTACCACTAAACTCAGTTGTGCGTATCAACGTACCAAAGGTTCCTCTATGTAATATGTAAGGTTAATCCAACAGAACAGTGGGCCTACCAAAAAAAAAAAGAACTGCCTCGGAGCTGAGAACCTCCGCTGTAATAACAACAGTATCTTTTTTAATTAAAGGTACGGGAAGAATCCAAATTACTGTTGGCAGATTCCGATGGAATTCGTGTAACACCTGGAGCCATTGCCAATAAAGTCTCCGCATTTCATGAATTTCAATAAATGACTGTAGGCTGCTACCCGCCCCCCCTTTTGGCACCTTGCCCAGTTGTAATCAATACTCCCCCTCTGAGGGATAGCGAAACTTCAAATACCAGTATGTGTTCAACTAAGCAGTCTCCGTGTACACGTACACGTACTCGTCCCCACCCATCATTTTTCCTCCCCCCCCTCGAGTGCCAGCAATGCCAGAATTTCTTTGCTTCATTTGATATGATGAGAGGAGATGGTGTAGACTGCTCCGAGATTGACGTTCAGACTGTGAAGGGACTTAATATATGGCAAAGGAGTGAGTAGGAAAATATGTCATTTGGCCGCGCCAGGAGGAATGGATCGGGGGGGGGCTCATGCACGGAGGTGTAAATCTCGTAGACATCTGTGGAATTTCTGAACAGGTCGTAGAGGTGTTTATTGCAGTGGGGGACATTTACAGTGAGATGTTACCAACTTACCGTATGTTCAATGCAGTATACATGGTCGTAGAGTCTTAGTGCAAAAAACCTTCCCTTACCTTAGGAAGGATAAATCTAATTATTTTCTTTTCTTGTAGTTTTGTAAACTTATTTCA